TAGAATGCTGCAATTTTACTAGTCTGCCACTCACTTCCTTGTGCTATATATCCAGCTATACTTGCTGAGCTGGCATTGGTAACCATCCAGACCAGTTTATGGTTAGGTGAGTAATCTATTGGTACTTAGCTATAGTTTTAGTGATGCTCAACAATCTCTTTGATCTCATCAAAGGCCTACTGCTCTGTATAGGACCAATAGAATGGGACTGTAGAATCTGTGAGAGAGTGGAGAATACCCATAGGATCATAAATACAGGGTAAGTCATCAGCTAGATACCCTACACTTTCCAAAAACCCTGATAGAAGACCCTTTGATATAGGAGTCTTCTAATTAGTTACAGAGTCCACTTTATTGAGGCCTATATGAATACTATTATCATCAATAATCCATCCTAGAACTTTCATTTCTTTCAGTAGGAAATTCAACTTTGAACTACTCAGATATAACTGTTCTCATTTTAACACATCAAGAATACATTTTACATGCTTTATATGGTCTTCAAGAGAGTTCAAATATATGATGATATTGTCAAGGTAAACTTCCATGAATACACCTAGGTATGAGGAGAAAATATGATTCATCAGTGCCTGATATGTAGCAGGTGCATTACAATCACCCTGTTGTAAAACCAGACTGACCATATTTCTATCAGAAGTAGTAACAGTTATTCTATCCACATGTTCAGGCACTATATAGATTTGCTCATAAGCATCTTTTTCATCAATTATGCTCCAATACTTATATTTGACAACACAATACAAGATGCCTTTAATATTTGGAAGAGGCACAGAGACTTTGCAGGTGTTAGCATTATGTGCACACAAGTCAACAACTGTTTGAAGTAAGTGCTTCAACTTTTCTACTTTCAGAATCAGTAACATTGGTACAGAATTCTCAGTGGTAGTGAGTTTCTATCTACCTGAAGCTAGGTAATCTCATCATTTCTGATCCCACTGTGAGTGAAAGGCTTCTGAGCATCACAAAGACCTCTATGGGTAGACCTTTTGCTTATTGATTAGTGGGATAGTGTGGTTGATTGCCCTAAGTGGTGGCAATAGAGTCTCCAAGGCTGTCTTACAGATGGGAGTTGCATACTCTCTAAGCTCTGTGTAAACTTGGTCAAGTACATTGTCACTCACTATCATTGCCTGGGATCAGAGTTGGCTTATATTATCACCTTCCATAGGCAATACCATGCTGCTTTCTATTTCAATGGAAGAAGGATTAAAGCTAATATGTACATTATGCTGGTACAACCATGGTGTGCCTAGTACTAAATCATACCCTGAGAGGTTCACTATATCAAAGTAATGTTCTGCTTTAATACCTTGATATTTAAATTGAACCTTAGTTCTATATAGAATCTTAGAACATGAACCTTGTACTGCAAGATGCAAGGGAATTGGAGTTGGCAGGTATGTTTTGAACACTTTCAGCTGGTCTGCAAGCTGAGTGGACATAAAGTCCCCCAGTGAGCCAGTGTTGATCAATGCTCAACATAGTTTACCATTAATCTCAACAATGATAACCAAAGGATGAGGTACTATTTGGGCAATATTCTTGACCACTGCTGCATGTTGCTGAATAGCTGAGTATATCTTAGGTTCAATCTGAATGCCTGCTATGCTCATAATATGAGTGTAGCAATTTCACTCTTTCCACTGCAAGTTTCCATGCATTAGATGCAAGTAACTATCAGCTCTAGCAACTGTCATGTCAAGTTTTCACTCAAATTCATTCATCTCTACTGACTGCAAGAATAGAAATGATAAGAATTCATACTCAACAGGATCTCAAAGGTGCTGAAGAAGATCTTTATAGGCTTGATTAAGCTTCTTTCTATACCAGTTTGAAAGGTTGAAGTTTGGGTTCATCAAGTTCTTGATTGTTACTGAGGTCTTGAACTCTCGGTATACATCATCAATGATGTATTCCTGTGTCAGTTGCTGTGGATTTGGGTACACAATATACTGAACTTTATGTTTTAAGTCTCACTGATCTGAAATAAATGGTACATGCCTTATTAAGGACTTTCAAACTGTGGTGGCAAGTGGGTGGCCCATCTGAGGGTAATCCATATCTTGGAATATCAGTACATTGTCAAACATGGCTAATTATTGTCCCCAGAATTCTCTGAGACTGAACTGTGGATTCAGTACCCATTTATAAGAAACTTCTCCTCCTAGACTGCAGTCATAGTCAATCCATTTAAACTGATGGTCTGCTTTAGAGTCCCATAGTGTGAACCGAAGGTGTCCATGGGGTTTCTGGGAATCCCCTGGATAAGGTTGGTTCTCATGTAGCTTAGTTTCAAGAGCTTCAGCAAGTACATTTTCTATTCATTGCATGTGCTACTGCTCTGAGCAAACTTTAATAGCTTCTTTCTGCTTAAGCTTCTCAAAATAAAGCTCATCTAGTAGTAAGGACTCATATTGCCTTGCTATGAATGCATTCAGGTTCTTTGCAAGCCATTTGATTGCATCAAAATATGGGTTTTCAAGCTGTATAGCATCAATATAAAGGATAGCAAGGTTCATCTGATCAGTAATCATAATCTGATTTCTGTTTGATGTCTTATGAGAAACCTGGAATCTATCATATGGTGAGATTGGGCTTTCATAGCCTAATTCCTTCAGATCTGGATACATACTAATACCATGACTCAGAATAAAATGCATGCCTTGCACTATTGTATCTCTAATTTTGGATGAATTATGGTACCACTCTGTAGAGTTATATAATAATGCCAACAACCTAGCATGCTGTTTTGCATACTATACACCAATATGAAACTTTGGATTTTGTAACAGTGAAGCAGATATGGTGAGTTCTCCATGTTCTGACTCAGTATCTGCAATGGTGAAAGTCTCCTGATTCAGGCAAAATACTCCAAAATAGTAGGAGCTTACTGCACTCCAGTGTAACTCATCACCAGAGTAAGATGCATCATGGTTTAAGCATATTTCAGCAGCATATTAATGTAGATTGCTAATTGTATTAGGTCACCACTTTGAATCCACCTCCTGCCATAGTATGAAGTTAGTATAGTCTGTCTCAGGATATCCATAGACATCCTTAGCATTATCAGCTCAGCAATACATAGGTTTATCATTATGATCTCTTGTGCAGATATTCTCTTTAGACTATGGATAAGCAAAGTTCTCAATCCTAGGCATCAGTAAGGCTTCATTGCATTCAATACTTCCAAAATCATAGATAAATGTCTCTAGATCATCTAATTCTAGTTTGACAGAATTATCAGAGCTAGAATCTGAAGATGTGATATCATTTTCAGATTTGATAGGTGATATGTAGAGCTCAGTAAGCACTTGTGAAATCCACTTGCCATCAGTTTCATAGTCTGAGCTTCCAGAATCATCAGTTTCTGAAACAGATTCAAGATTTGGAATGTCTTTGTCAAATAGATTATCATTCTGAGACTGACTGTCTTGTTTAATAGACATGAACATCATTTCAATTGAAATGTGATCAACTGTTTCAGTTGTCTCTACCAAATTTTGAAGCTGGTGATCATCTGTCAAGTCATAATATATACCATGTGCTGAGAAGCCTGGTGGCTCCATTTTGTTACTTGACTTCACTGTGCTATTGTGAGAACAATTTCTATCCATATGTCTCACTTCTTCACATCTAAAGCACTTATTTGCAGTGACAAGTTCTGCCTTCTTGCTTTCTAATAGTTTATTTTCAGAGCTAGAATTTGTGATAGACTTGCTTCCACTATTGCACCCTCTGTTCAATGGCTTATTACCTCTGGAAGATGATGAGGATTGATTGTAGCTTGATGACTGACTATACAAGTTAGATCCTCCCTTGCAAGGTCCATTCTTTTCATGAGAATATCCTTTCAAATGACTATTACCAGACTTATATTTCTTAGATGTATGCTCACTATTTCTGTGGTTATTGCTGTTTCCAGAACCTCCCTGTGATGGCTTCTTTTCCTTGGTGCTTTGAGGTGTAAATTCAAGATCAGCCATTTCAATGAGTTCAGCCTCTTCAACAATACAGTGCCAGCTATGAACCTCTTTATTGAGCTTTGCTTGATAGAGTTCATGCTGCATCTCTCTATGGAATCTGTCTCAAAGCTTGATAATACACTCATGCTTGCTTGTCATGCCAACAAGGCTATATAAGATTTCCAGCTCATAAACATATTCTGAAATAGTATGATCATTCTGATAGCACTTCTTTATTTTATCCCATTGCTGACTTCAGTAATTTAAAGGGAAGCATGAATTAAAGCTTCCTTACAAGAAGTCTATCAATGTTCATTCTGCATAGTTTTTTGAAACCTTCTGAATGAAGAAAGATAATGCCTTTCCTTTCAGGTAATGTGATGCCAGAAATACCTGTTCATCCTTTGAAACCTGACCTTCTTTGCAGAATTGGGTCAATTCACAATGGAATTTTTCACCATCAGCTGTATTATCATATGGTGTAGGAGGTATTAGTCAAATCAATCTTTTGCAGTGATGTTTTAGACTTCTATGCTTATGCCAATAGAAACCATGCCTTCTAGTATGATGATGATGGTGTCAATGTCTATGATTGGATGGCTCAGAGTTATCTGATGCATCTGACTCATCACTTGCATCACTGCTACTTGAGCTCAATAAGCTTGAACCAGTGCTTGAGGAACTATTGTCTGATAGAAAAGATCCTGAATAATTAGAGTCTGAATCTGAGTTGGACTCATTACTGAGAGTAGACTCTGATGATTCAGAGTTAGAGGAACTAGCATGGTGCTTATACTTCTGTTTCTCAAGCTTTTTCTTATTGAGTTTCTTTTTGCACTCAGATGAGACCTTTCACTTCTTCTTTGATTTGCTAATATCTAACACATCAGCCAAGAAGCTATCAGATGGTAGCTGATCCACAGGGCAAGTAGACCCATGTTGGCTATTTAAAGGTGTCTTCAACTGTTCTTGTATGATGTTCCTCATCCTATGATTAGTCAATGATCTGACAGTCTTTCATTTTGAAGATTTTGCACTTGTCTTAGAGGGTGCCTTTTTTGATTGAGACTCTGCCTCTAAATCTGACTCAGAATCTTTGTCTGATGTTTCTTCTATCTCAAGAGCATCATAGCAGCCTGTTTTGTGAACCTTTGTCTTTGGTTTTAATCTCTGAGGTCTTTCTTTCTGTTTGTTATGCTTAGAAGACTTTCTGACAGTCATAAAACCATCTTCAACCTCTGGACAAACCTCCAAATAGGACACATTGCCTTCAGAGACTTCTTGATTGATGTCTCGAGCCTGATTCCATGTTTCAAGAGCCTCATATTGTGCCTCGACATCTAATTCAGTGTCATCAATCTCCTGATTGTGGTCGACAAATTTTCCTTTAGCAATGTAAGAGCTGGGTCCAGATGTAGCTATTGGAGTCTGAGATGCAGTAGGTTGCTCTTGGCCCTTGTCTTCCATCAGCTTGTTCTGATGTTTGGCAAGCATTTCTTGCTGTGCAGTTGTCAAATTTCATTCAGCCACATCAATGGTAGAGAGCTGTTCCTTCATGAGCTTTCTTCCTTTGTGTAGTCTTCCAAAATGAACTTCACATTTTCCCAGATCATCAAGACTCTGAGTATGATAAAACCTTGCAGGTCTTGCCATTCTATTAGATTCTTCTGCATCTGTACTATAGGATGCTTTCTCAAAGATAGAAGATGTAGATGATTCATAATCATTTCTATTATCTACATCACTACAGGACAAATCATTATCTGAAACTTCCATTGATATGCAGGCTACATGTCCAGCCCTATAATTTGCAAATTCTGCATAACACACTAGAATATGCTAGTAACTAAGGATCATTAGCCAGTAGAGGACTATGGCTGAGGCTCTGAGCTGATAGTCATGCTAGTCACCAATACTAAGTCCAAATTGGACTTTGTAAAAATAACATGGCCTAAGGATAAAATCCTAAGTCAGGTTTGAACTTAGAAAAGTTTGGCACCACACCTTGAAAAATACTAAGTCCAAGTTGAACTTAGAAATGGTATCTCAAATGGGGCCAATTCTATATGCCACTAAGATAAGTATATTCTAAGACAGCTAGGGGTATAATACCATAGCTAGTTGTGGAGTATTGAGTAGAGATAGCATCATCCAGAAGCAGTAAGAAGAGATATCCAATGATCTGTGGCTAGCACTCTGAGTTTTGACTCAAATGCCTAAGTCCAAATTTTCTAAGTATCAGGTGACCTAAGAGACTTAGAATTGAGAGGAATAGAGTGGATAGGACCGGTTGACTGGGCCTGACCGGGTCTGATCAATTGAGCTACTAAGAATAACTCAGAGAATTAAAACTTTGAGTAGACAGAAAGGAGTTAGATACCCACAGGCACTGTAGGCTTAAAATAAAGCTGTGTGGTGGCCAGGTGAGTCTGGGCAAGCCTAGAGAAGTCCAGGAGTGCCACCATTCCAGAACAATGATGTGATTCAGCTTTAAACAGAAGAAATATTATTTTGAATTGCTTTATTTATAGATTCTATACCTGTTGTTGGTGTATAAAAGAAGGGAATGGGGGGAAAATAGCAAGCAAGCGACCCACCCCCATGTTCAGGCCTTCTAGCCCACTGTAGCTAGTCCCTGGGACAATGGATTTTGAGTTCTGCTTCAACTTAGTGATTTATTTAAGTTGCTTTGTCACTTAGAGAGGATTAGATTGGAATAATAACTGTATTTTGGGTTTTGGATTAATTTGGGTTCCAAACTATAAGGGTTTCAGTGTCAGAATACAAGTTCTTCAGTTTTGAGAACTGCTAGCCAGCCAAGAGTGCAGCTAGTCAGGCCTAAGTGCTTGATAGACTTAGTATTTGGGTTTCAGAGTTCATTGGGTTTTGGAATATTCTAAGTTGATTTAGAGTGCAATTTTGCATTGATTCTAAGTCCTAATTATACTTAAACATTGCTATAAACTACTCTCATGAGTATTGCATCTTTGAAAGCAAGATAGAGTTGAATAACTGTCTTTATTGACTCTTTCTCTGATTTTACTTAAGACTGCAAGAGTGCTTCTATCATACTCGAAACAACCAACCTCAACTGTATTTGGTGATTGTGTATTGAGTGGTTATGTGTTGGTGTTTGAGAGTTCATTCCTCATTCACCTCTCTTAGTCACTTAGCTGTCACCAAGCACATCACTGTGGTTGGATTTCCCTTGAAACTGACATCCTCCAATTTCTCTGAGTGATTTGAATCCTCTTTCTCTGCTTGTGCATGGGCAAGAGGAAGGTTTCTCAGTGCTGTAGCACCAGACACTGGAACATGGCTTGCAGCTAGAACAGGGGTAGCATCCTGAGTGCTTGCAGCACTAGAATCTGCCACATTTTTAGTATCAAAGTCTGTTGGTAACAACTCACCTGATAACTGAGATAAAGGACTGTCCATCCCTGGTGTAGCTGGCACAACAGTGGTGTTGTGATGGCTGCACAAAGGGTAATGCGACATCCTAAGAAACCAAGAAGTAAAGAGAAAATTAGATATTGGTGTTGAAGTCAGAATGTCCTTAGGTGATCAAGCCATAGGGGGTCCAGATATCGATGAAGAGAGATATAGAGAGTTTAGAGAGAAAAGCACAGATGAGAGAGAGAAAAAGATAAAAGCAAAGATTAAGCCAATGGAGCTGTCAAAAATATGAGAGGATGGCAAAAGTCACTTCTCTCATGAAAGGCTCATGCAGTCACTGACAGGTGTAAAGGCTTGGTCAATTGCAAAAACCTCTAGCTACAATATGTGTACTGGCTTATATATATATACAGTAGGAATAACAAATATGGACTAAACCAGGAGACGGGGGAAAGAGGGAAAAACATCAGGTCAAAGTATCGGGCCGTGGAACAACTCATAACAGCAGTCTTCCACACTTCCCTCTAACATTGCTATATCAAAACTTTGGGTTAGTGTCAAAATAGCATACAAAACAACTAGTATCAAAACCAACAGAACAAGAAAAGTGAAACAAATGCAAAGGAAATGACAATGGTGGATAGTATGCAAGCAAAATAGGAAATAAGCACATAACAAAACAAATCAAGATTAATCATCTTCCGTAGCATTAGTGAAATGCAGATCCTGCTTATCTTTGGCCTCAGCATTCTTCCTGTCTCTTTCCAGCCTGGAGAGCTCTTGTCGCCAGAGAGCAGACACTTCCTCCTCTATGACACCATCAGATACCAATGTCTCTGATGCTCCAATACCCATGCCTCTCAGGACTTCCTCGGGCCAAACACCTGCAGCAAGTCGGACGTTCCCAGATACGACATTCTTTGGCATACCCTGCATAAAGGATGTGCTCCTGGTAAACGAGTGCTTGCCCCCTTTAGATCTATGGACGAACATCATGGATACCAAGCCAAAACCTTCCAACATACTGACAACATCTCCAAATTCGCTGCGGGACACAGGCACGAAAACATTGCTGTCACTGCGTCTTAAGACAGCAGAATAGAAAACATGTAACTGGGACGTCTCTACACTTGGCACTACTGAAAGACGTGGCGATGACTGAGAACGCTTAGTAGGTGACGACGAAGTAGACGTCGTAAGAGGTAATCCAGCGTCCGTCCGTTTCGAAGACAGAAGGACCGAAAGAAGCACGAGTCGCGCTTGGAGACCCAAGGACCTGACCTTGGTGGCAATTTCGCTGCTACATGACCGTGCAGTTGCCGAGGACGCGGCGGGTGACGACACCTTGTTCAATGGACCATGCGCCTTGAGGGCCCCAAGAATATGTGCGGGTGTAACAGAAAAACCCAAAGAGGATTGAACGCCCTTGGATGTATCCGGCGTCACAGCAATATCAATGGCTCCCCGCAAAATCTCGAAGAGACTTCGTACGTCCCCTGTCAACGCAGCGACTTTCTTCGTCAACAATGCAAGAGGTGCGGCAGGAAGTAGCTTCTGGGCTTCCTCGGCAGATTCGGCGTCGTACAGGGGAGCCAGTCGTGCCTGAACAATCAGTAAGAGCTGCGCAGGTGTATAAGGAGGGAAGTGGAGTGTCTGCACAGATGAAGAGAATGAGGCTGTCGATGATGTAAGAGTGTGAGTGTTGGCAATGCCGATGACGCATAGGGCAAAGGAATTGCATGCGGGAAGGGAGAACACGGCCGATAAGGACTGTGAGGTGGCGGCTATATGATCCAACTCGTCTAATACCAGAAGGCTATGGTAGAGATGAGTCATTGCTAAAGAAAGAGGTAATAAACCGACATACCATTTGTTGTCAAGACTGGACAAAATATCTTCTAGGGTCTCCCTCCCCTTCCCTTTTCCCTTAATAATCTTCCTGGACCGTTTCCGTTTGGAGGGCCCTAGAAGTTCCTCGGACAGTCGCTCCCACAAAGCTTCAACATTTTCAAGGGCCATGCAGTTCACCGTAACGACCTTCATCCCGTCCAAGCTGGTACCAAGAGATTGGATGAGAGAATTGACGAGGGCTGTCTTTCCTGTGCCAGGCGACCCGGAAATGTACAGACTAGACCATTGATCTCTGCTGTGGGAAGTCGCAGGACATGTGGTAATGAAATCTCGGATAACTGAGCGTTCCCTCTCGCGCCCTGGCATATCGCCTATACAATCGCATGTAGCACGAAGCAAGGCGCGAGCTCGGGCATGAATAGGTAAAAGTGAGGGAGGGGTAGGTGGTGGTGTTGATATGATTAATTGTGCTATGGGCGTTGAAGGAGGAATCAACGACGATGTAGATGCGCGCCTCTCTGGCAGCACTAGACGAAGTGGCAGAATTAAGAACACGGAAAACAGAGAGGAAAGAGTGGACGCACATGGCCGACGGCGCGACGAAGCAATAGCAGCTTCAGTCGATGTCCTCCTGAGGGCACGCGCAGCTCTGACTGAGATTGGTGATGATGAATACACGTTGACCGCCTGAATGAGATACGGGGGAATATTTTCCTTGTTGTCGTCGCCATCGAGTATGGTTTTTGTCGTCTTGGGGCGTTTGGGATTGGGAGTCGGGACTGGTGTCTGCAGCTGCTCGCAGTTCGAGGGTGACGACAGCTCACTACGATGAGTGCGCTTGCCAAGGATCGATAGCTGCATTGAGCGTGGGGTCTGCATCGCCGTCGATGTCGATGTTGGTGGTAGTAGAGAGTGCTCTGCCAAACAAAACATTTTGACATTTGCATTCAATCTCCGCCATCACCATCCGTAAATAACGCGAGACGCGACGCGTAGAGCACGTGTCTGGCGTGATGGTCACGTCCTTTTCCTTCTGGCGACTGCCATGGACTCCCAAATACTCGCCAGTGAAGACGTAGAAATAGAGGAAGACGACGAACTTGGGTACGTATCAGTTTTCGAAGCCTCTGATTTAGTCCAAGACATCTTTCAGATCGCCGGACGCGATTCAAGCAATGGAAAACATGGCAATATCCTTCCTGAAGCAGTTGGACCAAGTGTTCGACGACGAGAGCTCCTCAGAAGATGACTCTCCTAGGAAAATGAGCTCCATAATCAGACTGCAGCTGGCTGATAGGATCAAACGCACGCAACTCGGGTATAGCACAGCGGCACCACTCAAGATCGGCACACTGATTCGTCCATTCAGGATCACAGACACGAAATACATCTCTTATCCACGAAAATGTACCATGGGCAGTGCACGGCCGTTTGGTATGTCCCTCTGTCTCTATGCTCTATACCACGCCAACTCGGGCCCTCCCAGCCCAGCTCTTCCACGTCCTTGATAGCATGCATGAATCCGTTGTTAGCAGCGTTCCTGTTACCAAGCGGTATTTGAGCATCTCATCGCAAGTGCTTCCATTCAAAGGTCTTGTAGCGATATCTACTACAAGGACGTACCGCTGTTGAAGACTCAGCGAGTCGTTGACAACGTTCGTGTATAGTCCTTGTCATCAACTGAGTACATCTCCAATCCACAGCTCGTCGATGACCTTGCTGCCACATTCGACCTCGAAAGATCCCAACTTAACGTCGTACGTCCCGCAAACAATCCTGACCTATCAAAGTGACGACTTCTACTCCAAGCGAGCCACGTCAAAAGGACTAATTTGCAGTTCATCCCTGACATTCCATCTCAATAGCGGAACCACTCTGTGTCCTAGTGATACCGACGTAGGATGCATCGCCAGAAATTCCCAAACCTGCTGACCTTCCGAATACAGGGATTTCTGATACCCGTTGGCGAAGACATCCAGACGTTCAGTTTGACAGAAGAGATATCATGGGTCCTCATTGTTGAGAAAGATGTATGTGTGTTTTTCCTCGCCGTATCTTAGAGGCCTATCCATCCCATCTAGGCCATATTTCAACATCTATGTCGCTTTCAGCTAACCAAACACCCATCTGTACCGGGACGAGGCTTGATGATCACCGTCAAGATTTTTTCTCAACTTTCATCTCTCGCCTTTCGCTGAATGTCACTCACTGTAGGGTAAAGGATACCCCGACATGGCCACACGCCACCTGGTCAAAACACTCTCAGACAACCTACCTTCAAGGTCCGAATTTTTGCGTGCCCCTAGAGCCAAGCTTTGAACCCTTCAGTCATTTAGTGTCCCTATCATGGCGTTAGTCGACGGCGATGCCTTTGGTATCGACATCTTATCTGTTTACAAATACGGAAGCCGTGCTCTTCAGCACGAAAATTTCAAGCTCGCTGCTGAACGTATCAAATGGCTCGGCCTGTGGTCGAGTGAGCTAGCGCCGTTCGTCAGCTCTGAATCGTGGATTTTGCAAATGCTAATATCTGGAACTAGTCTGGGTATCGACCGCGACGCGCTCATTCCTATCAGCAAACATGATGAGAAGAAGGTCTGTTCTACATCCTAGTATGTCTCCTTTGCCTTTGTAACTTTTACTGAAGGCATTCGAGATGCTCCGCCGCCCGACGAATATACCGAAGAAATGGAGGTTCGCTCATCAATCAGTGTATTCGCGTTCTAACGACTTCTGACAAGCCATTCCGTTCATAGGAAAGAGCTCATGCATATGCTTCACAGTCGTCGGAAAGCTGAGATAGAGATCCTCTACACCGGCAACGCAGACGCTTCTCCTGCCAGTGCAACTTTTCCTGGTGTTTCTTCTAACGACCCGAGCGAGACTCCTACAGCTGCCTCTGGTTGTTCTTTTCCCGAGCTTGCTCCAGACCATCTTCCTCGTTCCTCAGGTCCTTCAATCAACTTACATCCACCTCTTCTCCAATATTTGATCACCAAGATTACGAGCTTCGTATCTTCCGCAAACAATTCATAATGTGACTTCTTATAGCTGCTGCTTATTCTACCTACTTTGCTTCTCTGCCGAACGGCTGATGGAATGTAATATCTGGGGTCTCGGTGATGGAGCTTCGTGGTTTTTGCCGTTGAATATCCTGAAAACAGAGAACACAACTTCGCTTGCATATGATACTCCTGGCTTCAGTTGAGACCTCGTAGAATCGAGATGGTCCCCATGTAATTGGACAGACAATAGGATCCACAAGGTGTCCATATAATCAGAACCTTTTCGGCAGTCCTCTGGTGGCTAGGACTCACCTGCTCATATCATGGATCTCTTTACATTCAATATCATTGTTGGAGGTGCTGCCTTGGCATTTCAATAGCCAATACAACTCTGATTCTTTGAATTTTTACCTTGAGGCTAAGGAAGAGCATTCTTTCATGATGTCACATTCATCAGACTTGAAAGTCATGGGCAGTGATGCAGTTCTGTTTTTGTGCCATCTGTGTCATGGGCATGGATATGTTACTGTATTGTGGCACCTTCTTGTCTATCATTGGTGGCTAATATGATGCTTTGAAGTGCAAAATTCACTGGCTATTATTAGGCAAATGAAAATTTAATGGTCATATGCTTTATATTTGACATTATTACACTAAAGCTACCTTTTATTTTTAGATGAATGCCACAGGATCTAATGCATTGAATGCATTCTTCAAGCTAGGAATAGATGCTTGAACCAGTGTTATACTCAAGTCATCTTCTGATCAACCAACTAACCATCTGGAATTTAGCCAAGATAAAAGATCCTACTCTATTCCTGGATGTCTTGGCACTCAATCTGCACTGTCAAGAATGTCTGATTCTAACACAAGTTACAGTTGACTATCTCACAATGCATGATGTCAAAATGCACAATTCTGACTTTGCATATAGATTAGGCTGGAATGCAGTTGGAGAGCAGAGAAATAGACTAGAAATGCATATCACATAATGCATATGGTTTTAGTTAGGAATATGCATTGTCAGATCAAAAATTGTAGTAAGCCAATATAACATTGTGCATATATTAGAACAATAAAGAACATAATTTGTTTGTATAGACTATGACAAACACACAAAAAATTATTGTAAAGCAGTACAGCCTATATCTCTATAAACATGCCTCCTGAACCAACATGAAAACCACATGCTAAACCTGGAAATCCATATAAGCATACAAAACAGAAGAAGAAAGTCTCAATGTACACATCATTGGCTCAGCCTCCAAAGCAGATCTCCTGCCCACATCTCACAACAGGAGACTGGCTCATAGTATTCAAACATGTTGATAATCATCCTTCCCATTGACATGCTGACATTGTGGCAATTTTGCAAACTGAAGGGAAGATGCACTGCTCTTTACCCAATCAACTCTTTCACACAAACTGGCATCTCATACAAAAATCAAACAGTGTGCAAACAAGAACCCTAATATACTATCATCCAAAAAGTCTTGCATTATCATCTGATCTGATGTGAAGCATGCTGTTGCATCCTGGTATCAGAATATGCAGCTCCAAGATGAGACTGTGACTGGTGCAATGCTGATAGAGAAGTGAAATCAGATTGAAAATCTGATGAATATTCCAGAGAATCAGTGTTTGAAAGAAGAGAGATGGTTGAGGTCATTCTGTAAGACATGGAAGATTCAGAAGGTTCAGCAGCATGGAGAAGCAGGCTCAGTGGATATGGTGGCAGTGGAAAAAGAATGTGTGTGCCTTCACAGCATTATAGTGAAATATGCAATGCAGGACAGATGGAATATTGATGAATCTGGTCTTATCATCTTTGCCATCCTAGATCATACCTTGGCATCTGGTCCTATGAGTGGATGGAAACAGGACAAGTTCCACATCACCATATGTTTTGCTGTGAATGCAGATGGGAGTGAGCAAATGCCAGTTGTTTTCATTGGAAAGTTAAAGCAACTGCAGTGTTTCAAAAAAAAGAGTCCAACAGTAATGAGATTCTATTATCAGAATAACAAGAAGGTCTGGATAATGAGTGAAATATTTACAGAGTGGATGAAGATGTTTGATTTAAAGATGAAAAAGGAGATGTGGCAGATTCTGCTGACTTTGGACAACTTTTGAGGGCATTCTATCACTTATACACTCTATAACACAAAGCTGGAGTTCTTTGAATCTAATATGACTTTATATGTCCAGCCCCTAGATGCTGGTATTATCCACTGCTTCAAGACATATTATCAGAATGCTATATGTATTTGTACACTTGATCTTGATGATCTTGGAGAGTCTGAAATCTTCAAGCTTGATCTCCTTGAAGCTATAACTATTGCTTGTGATGCTTGGGCAAATGTCAGCAGTGAAACAATAGCAAACTGCTGGAAACATGC